AATATAATTAAATAAAAAAATAATTTTAAAAAAGAACTTAAACATTTTGCCTAAGATTCCACATCTAAAAAGTGAGAGAAGCAGGATTTGAATCCAGCTTCCTGCCATTTTTAATTTGGGGAGGATGTATGGTGCAAGGGATGGTTAGCTATACTGGCCTCTCCAGTGTGTGCCTCTTTTTTCATCTACGCTGTCTCTTCCATCCTGTGCTTGCTCAAAGTGCCTGAGGCCCTCCATTTTTCTCTCTGTTATGCTGAGAAGGATCTGAGACCAGTTATGTGTAAGCCAGTATGTTGTTCAGTTGATGACGACCTCTCTCAAGATTATTCATACTCAAGGCTGCCAGTGTGTGCAAGACTCGGCTTATTCTGGCCCATGAGGGAGGGTTGTTACATTTTCAGGAATACCGTGAGCCACTGGGTGTTACAGAAGTAGTTCAAAATTGATCATGAATGGAGTATTTACACCAGAAAAATCAGAAAACACCATGAATCAGGGCTCTCCAACACCGACTACCATCACAAAGGCTGTTAAGCATAGCACAGCACTGGGCCTTTCTCTCGTTCTCTGTTAAAGTATTTCAGGTACCAGGGACCATTCTATCAGAAAGTCGGCCGGCTCAGGGGGGCATCTGAGCATCATACCTGCCCATGAGCCACTGCTTGCCACCCTGCTTTCTGGTCCACTGAGCTGTTCCAGCTGGGTGGGGGAGCTTATGGCCCCTTTGAAAACACTTGCACACCTCAATAGAGGGAAAAAAGCATCTGACACCACAACCAAATCCATGTGAAAATAAAAGGCTCATTCATTTTATTGGCATTAAAAGGACAATAGGAATGAGAATTCAACATAAACATCCTAAAAATATTTAGAATAAACATATTTGATGTACAGAATGACTGAATTGATCTTAAATATGTAGAAGGATTATTGTTCACATGGTGTCACAGTTTCACAGGATATTAAAACTATAACGAATGTAGTTTTACAGATGAGGAAAAGAAGCTGATACCCTGGGAAAGACAAGAGCCGACCCAACATCCATCAGCTCGTAATGCATGGATAGCTCCCCCTGAGCTTGTAACTAGCCACAGAACAGGAAGAACAGAGGACTCTTATCTTAGACTATAAGCTTGATATTAAAGAATCCATTAATACTTCCCTTTATTTGAAAATGAAAATATTGGGACCAGCAGTTGGTGTAATGGCTATGTTGCTGGACTCTCATGAAGTTAACCGTGGTTTGAGTCCCAGACCTGGTGGCTTAAACTCACACCGGGCACGTGTGTGTGTGTGCCCAAGATCCTGAGAGGAGAATGGACGAGAAGGGATTGTGGCATGGCCACCTCCACTGGGGGGTGATTTCTCACTTTCTGTCTCTCTGTCTCTGTCTTTCTGGTGAGTGCACGCACCCTATACAAAAACCTTTCCAAAAAAAAAAAAGAAAAGAAAAAGAGAAAGAAAATGAAAATATTATGCTACTTAGCAACTACCTTGAAATATAAAATGAGACATGAAATGATACAAATAATGGCTAACATTAACGAGATGCTTACTAGCTCCAGTCACTTGTCATAAAGTAAGGCAAACTATATGAAGTTGCCTGTATATGACTGCTGTTTATCTGCCAAATGGTAATTTCAGATAGTTCAACCCAAATACATTATCTCTCTAAATCTTTGCCATCTTCCCATGAAATGGGTACTATTATCTCACCTATTTTACAGCTGGCAAGACTGAAGTTTTAATTGAGAAATAGAAATATTCTTTTTGCAAATATAATGCTACTCATTTATGATGACATATGGTTGACCCTTGTGTGCAAAATGATTTAACATACACAGGGCAGGAGCAATAATCACTCACATATCTTACTTTTCCCAGTGACCTTGGATAAATTTCTAGCCAAGAAATTTCTGTAGTATTTTTTAAATGTTAAAAAATTATTTATGAAAATTTATAGTCATTAAAAAACAAAACGTGATGTTTGTGCATATATCTCCTATAGCCTACATGGAAACATAGAAACTATAGTCCAGAGATCACCTGAATGAGTGACTTGTCCTAGAATTTTTCATAATACTCAAACAAAGTAGTGAAGTAATTTTACAACATTGTCTACAAGCACATGATAACCAACAAGATTCTGAATCAAGACCATTTGGTTTTGTGTGCATTTGCAAATAGTATTGTTCTGAATTCACAACCGAACAGTTCACAACAGTAATGCTGCTACTCAGAAATTAGCAATACAGTACTAGCTAAATGAGACAAAATGAAGTGGAGTCAGGAAAACTAATTGGTAAAATTGTAAAATGGACTTTGAAAAAAAGTGTAAAGGCAAATAGCTTCTTTCTCAATGTGAAATAAGACCTTGGGCTATCCCATTCATCTAAAAAGCCCAGAAATGACAGATGCCATGTGATTTCTCTCTATATGATGAATACCCCAAGTGCAAAACTTGGCTCCTGGCCATCTACCAAAGAAGTCTTGCACATAAAGAATTCCATGTGCTTTCTGGTTGATCAGTGAATTGTTATCAATAAGCGTCTGTTGACAACAACAATTCTTTTCCCTTCTAAAGAAGAGACAGCCTTATTTCACTTGCAACTTAAAAAGGCCAGTCACCCATCGGCTCCATGCCCAGCCTCCTCTCCTTCAGAGCTTCATTTTCTTGAATACTTCAAAGCCTAGTTCTCCAAAGACTCCAAACACATGCCTGTACCCGAGTCAGACAGCAACAAGGCATCAGAACACCTTCTTCATCTCAAACTGACTATCAAGCATTTAATATTTCCCCCTTCAGAAAAATTTAACTGATAATCCCTGCCTTCCCTCTCTACTGATATAAAAATAATCTACTGTGCAGTGAGAAATCAAGTATGCCTCGAAAAATTGCTGAGGGACTAAACAAGCCCACTGTACAGAAACAAAAGATTTTTAAAGACAAAAGAGGTTGGGTAGGTCACTATTTCTAGTCTTTTAATTCTATGAAAGGAGAGAACCCAACACAGGAGGAAGACATTTGCCCAAGCTTGCTCACTTAATGAGAAGCAGAGTTTGGTCTCCTGACCCTACATGTAGCGCCCTTTTCTTTTCTTTCTTTCGTTTTGTTTTTAACCAAACATCATTATGTTTATTCATGTTGCTTTGGTTAATACTGATGTTATAGCATACAAAAATATCTTTAGATATATAAAAAGGCTGACCTAACTAGACAGCGGAATCTGGGTAAGAATCATTGGTCTGCACTGTAGGCACTTTGAGCTCGAGAGCCATAGTCTCCTGGGATTTCTCCAAGGAATTATGAGGCTTGCCACTGTGCCTTGCAACTTGCAGACAATTAAATGCCTGGGTAATACTATTCCAAGATGTCTGGTAACAGTGATTATCGACACAAATAAAGATGAACTCATAAAAATGTTAACACTGCACCTATCACTTAACCATTCCTAGCACCAGTTGCTTTCACTGAAAAATCAAGAAATTGGTCTAGATTATCCCTTGGGTCCCACCGAGTTCTAATATTTTGTTAATCAATGTTTCATAAAATGTTGTACATTTTATATGAAAATCAAGTTCTACTCAATCATATTTACCACAAAAAATAGCATTATAATTTAAAAATTGAATTAAAAAAAAGTCGGTAACTGTTAAACATACACTTCAGAATTGAAATTGCTTAGTACAATCACCTCACCTCTTTTGTTTCTCTTCACATTCTTTTCTGTTTATTCCTACAACACTTTTTAAGTTGCTATAACCAGCATGTTCATGATCCTGCATTCCATGTATACCTTTTTGAGTCAGCCCAGTCCACATAGAAAATATGAATAGATAAAAGAAATTGCTCACATACCCCATGACGATTCTCAAAGTATGCCAGGCTGGTTTTGGTTAAAACGAAGAAGCGGACTTTAAAGTTTGAGGGAGAGGTTCTTCTCTTTTGCTGGGATTTCTTTATTAGCTGTTCTTCCAGGAGGATAAAGTTGTTCATGATCTAATTCTTGAAAAGTGATGTGCTTTGGGCATCACCCCTTAGCACAGCCAGAGGGAACTGCTTCAGGGCAAGGACTGTAAGAGGGAGGCAGTTGATCTTCAGAGAGTAGCTCAAAGGCAACTTGCCCCCAGTGTTATCTTTCGATCAATGTTCAGTCAACATCGCAGTGCCTCTCCTCTGATGTCAAGGCCATAACCACATCCTTTTGAAATTCACAAACCCGAGGCATATGTATAAAAGTGTATACTCTTTGCTATATAGTTTGGAAATGTATTTGAAGAACCTTAGACTCAAAATTATATTAAAGATTATAGAGTTTAAGCTTTACAGCGTCAAGTTCAGTCCATGCAACACTTAAGACACCTAGCATGGGAAGAAGACCATAGACACTGGAGCCAATGGGACAGAGTTTGTGAATTCATTTCCTGTGGCTGTTGTAACAAATTGCCATAAACTTAGTGGCTCAAAGGGACACAAATTTATTTTCTTAAAATTCTGTAGTTCAGAAGTCTGAAAAAAGTCTCAGGGGGCTGAAGTCAAGGTGCCAAAGGGGCTGTGATCCTTTTTGCAGAATCTCTAAGGGTGGATTGGTTGTCTATCCTTTTCTAGCTTCTGGGGACCACTCGCACTGCTCGGCTCATGGGCCTTCTTCTTCCATCTCCAAAGTCAACAACAGCAGGTCAGTTTCTATTCCCCCCATATCATGATCACCTCTTCTTTTGCCTCCCTTTCCCACATTTAAGGACTCTGGTGATTGCACTGAGCCTGCTCAAACTAGATTAATCTAAGATAACTTCCCTCTTTTAAAGTCGAGTCACTAGCAACCTAATTCCATTTCTACCTTAGTTCTACGTGTAACCTAATGTATTCATAGGTTCCATGGGATGAAGACATGCACGTCTCTATGCAGGACCATTATCCTACTGGCCACAGTCTGACTTCTAGCTGCACCACCTAACTAGCTGTGAGACTGTAAGCTCTGACTCAGTGGCTCTGAACCTCGGATTTTCATCTGTAAAAGGGAAAACAATGTCCTATACACAAAGCGCTGGAGGTTCTTCTCTGGCTTTTTTGCCAGTCCAATATGACACTTTACTTGCTAGTTTTCACTCCAGCCTCAGTCTGCACCCTCATCCCCCATCCTCAGACATGCTCCACATATCACTTGGCACGTACTGTTCACTCTCCCCAAATATTTTATCTCCTTTTCCTTTTCTGGTTAACTCTGAATATACCTTAAGTCTTATCCTACATGTTACTTCCTGAGGAAAGCCCTCTCTCTCTTTTTTATTTGCTATAGAGTACGTGCACTTGCCATAGAGAGACAAAGTGAGAGAAAGTGAGAAAGCAGCACCAAGAGGGTATGGCCATGCCACAATCCATTCTCTTCCACTCTCCTCTCATAATTCTAGGCATACACACACAAGTGCCTAGTGTGTTTCTCAAGTCACCAGATCTAGGACTCAAACCATGCAATTGGCCACCTGGGATCCAGCTGCCTTAACCACCATGTCACCTGTCTGGCCCTCTTTGTGCTTTCTGAATTGAAGTTCATGAATTATATACACATCTCTTTATACCTTCATGACAGTTTTAATGAATACTTTGGAGGCAATTTTGGCAAGTTTTGTCTCATACTTATTTAATTAATAATCACCAAATTAGGTTGGACAATTAAAATAGATAATAAGCATGAAACACTCATATACTGAAATGAGTAGATACATTAAAGTTCTTTTATTTTTAAAAGTTTGTATTAGGGGCCAAGAGGTGGCCTGGTGTTTAAGGTACTGAACTCTCTCATGGTAAACTGTGGTTAGAATCCTGGACCCGATAGCTGAAAATCACGCTGGGCACATGTGCTTTTGTGCCCAAAATCCCAAGAGGAAGATGGAGAAGAGATTGTGACATGGCCATGCCCCCCTGGAGGGCGATTTTTTGCTTTTCCTCTCTCTGTTTCTGTTTGTTTCTGTCTCTGTCTCTGTCTGTCTCTCTCCAGCAAGTACACATGCCCTATGGCAAAAAAAAAAAAGTTTAAAAAAAAAGATTAAATCCCAGAGATGTTTCTTTAGGCTACATATAGATAATTGCTTTTTTATCCTGAAATTGTGCAGAAGAGCAGAAAATAAATTCCTTCATAGTGGTTTAATGAACAAAGCATGCATGAGTTCTGAAAATAGACAAACTTGAATCAGAATCCCAACTCTGTCAATTACTAAGCTTTTTGTCTTTGAGCAAGCTACTCTGATCCTTAGTCGTCTTGTGGAGTTTGTTTTGAGAAATGAATTACGTATACCCTGTGATTGGTGGATGGTAGTCATGTATCTTGCCTTACAGTTAGTACGCGGTTGAAATACAATGCGTAAGATTTACTTCTACCATTCCGATCACAACCAAGACATCCCAGTGTGATAAAAGATAGCATATACCGGAATAGAAATAGATAACGAAACAAACAAATCAATCATCCATGTTGCATAGGAATGCAGTTTGCTAAATTTATTGTTAAATGTAAATTCTCAGAGTACAGCTTACTTTCGTTTTATATTTTGGGTGCTTCAGCATAATCAAGACACTCAGGAAGGTAGGGTAGAGGAATATCTTGAATGACTCCTCCCTTCTGAGATTTTAGGACATATATGTATAAATACATTGCCCAAAAGAGTTTTTTGCTTGTTTGTGAGTTATTTTTATATTTTTCTGAATATGGGCTTGAGGTAGGGATTCCTATTTTCCCCAAATATCTATACTTCCATTCTTCCTAGGGTAATTAACTGACCGATTGTTACCTGCTTACCTGGGTAGCTAGAATAAGGACCACATTGTCAGCCTCCTTTGTAGCTAGTGTAGTCATATTACCATTTTTCTGGTTGACAGAACATGGCAGAAATAGTAAACACGACTCCCAGGAAATATCCTTAATGGGAGTCACAATACCCTTTCCTTCCCTTTTTCCTCTTTCCTGATGCCTAGAATGTTGATGTGGTGGCTGGAGCTGGAGCAGTTAAATTATATCATGAAGTGGAAGTTGTATGTTGAGTACAATTTTACATAAGGTAGAAAGAGACTGAAGTCCTGATGACCAGATTCTTCCATGTCAGCCCAGATCACTTTTTCTATAACACACAGAGAAATAAATTTCTATTTTCTAAGCTCCTTTCTTTTGAGATTTCTGTTAGTAGCAGGAAACCTAATTCTAACCAGTACAGTGTTATCTTTTCAAATGAGACAATTAACTCTTTTGGGAAAGGGGTTTATGCCTGGTTGACTTCGGTCAATTTAGGATTTACAGACTTCACCGTGTTCTCAGCTGAGAAAGCAAAATATCATCAGTAGCTGTTGTAATACTTGGGAGTCTTTCATTTGCCATGTCTCCGTTGCACTGAAGGCTCCCTTAGAGCCTTCAAACCCACTTGCTAGGATTAGTCTGTGTATGCCTAAATGTTATCCTAGGGGACCCGCTATTTTCTCAGTCATTTTAAGGAAAACATAAACAACAAAATATCATCCCTTTGTTTGTTTTGGTTTTAAAAAAGTTCAGTTCACATGAGCCAAATTCAAGGAGCTCTCCCTGGTCAAACATGGGATAACTGGGATATCACAAGTAATGGGGGCCACCCCCCACAGCATAGCAGTTCAGCACCATGCAGAGAAAGCTCTATCCCACATGACCAATCACAATTTGAATCTTGGCCCAGCAGCTTGGGAAACATGTCAGGCATATCCAGGATCCTAACAGGATGGAGAAAAGGAGGAAAAGAAATCTAGAGTATTCACACAACCTCTGGCATTAAAAACAAAACCAAACAAAACAGAAAACAGAAAAAGAATAATAACCACAATGAATTAAGGAGTACCAAAAATGTTAAAATCATGACTGCATAAGATAACAATAACAACAACATCAAATCTCAACCCACGATCACTTAGAGGGTGCTGAAGAACCAACTTGTTATTCTGAGAACTGGAAACAAAGGAAAAGAATAAAACTTATTTTCTGCTTTTTCTGAAGAACTAAAACCCAGCTGAGCAATCAAATACTTAAGGAGGGAAAGTTCTTTGTAGGTGTTAATAAATGAAATATCACTATTTTGCAATTCTAATGATATAATGGGTCTAGGCAATGATCATCAATGGCTGTTAAAACTATTATGTGAAAAGCAAGTAGAAAAATGCACATGCAATTGTGATATGAAACTGACAGCACTGATCCATCTTGGCATCACAAGAAGATTGACGACCAGACATTGTATGTCTCCTGAGGTGACGTCATAAGGAGTACGTAAAACCACCTACCCAGAACTCTTGGGGAAAAAAAAAGGTCAAACACGTATCTAACCAAATCTTTAGATATAAATCTGAGTTTGTCAAAAATATAGAAGCTAATGAAAAATGGCAAATGACACTGTGGAGATAAAGTTGAATAGGCCCAGATTATACAAATCACCAAGGACAAATGATTTAATATTTATATAACAAATAAGTTATAGAGAAACCTATAGATTTTTAAAAGAAGTTTTATTTTATTTTATTTTATTTATTATTATTATTTTTCTTAATTTGCTACAGGACACATGTACTCACCAGAGAGAGAGAGAGAAAGTGAGAAAACAAGCCACTAGGTCTGGGACTCGAACCATGGTTGGCCATTATGGGAGTCCAGCACTCTAACCACCATGCAACCTGCTGGCCCTAGGGGAAACCTATGGATTTAAGGAGACATATCTGCAGGTGAGGACTTCAGGTTCAGAGCCCAAACAACAACTGTATAAAGATATTATGAGATGGACGATTGGGAAATTTGAACACTGACTAGATATTTGATGAGATTGAGAAACTGTTCTTAATTTTTAAGGTGTGATAATGTCATCATTGTCTGTTAAGAGAGTATTTTGTATAGAAACATACTGAATTGTTAATAAGATAACAAAATGCCCACGGTTTGCTTCATTATAATCCACTGAAGGGAAAGAAACAGGTAGGGGAAATATAAAAAGTATTTAGCCATAATTGACAATTGCTAATACTGGGTGAGAGGGTACATGGGCATCCATTATTCTATTTTCCTTACATAGACATATGTTTGAAAATTTTCCTAATAAAAATTTAACTCAAGATAAAGAAGGGCAG